CCCCAAAACCCCAAAACCCCAAAACCCCAAAACCCCAATAGGGAGTATCTCCATTGAGGCTTACTCTTTACTCAATATATTGCATATATTTTAGGTTTCCAGCATGGAACCTCTCGCTGATGGTCTTAGTCTTCTTGAGTTTCCTCCTTTTGTTTATTTTCAGAATACTTTTCCTATGCCTAGGCGTCATGAAGTGATCAGGACTCTTATCGTTCTCGGCACTCTTACTCTCTTCTGGAATTATGTTCTTTTCCAAGATCAGAGGGATTTTAGGAGAAGCTTTGGCATAATTATTGTCTTTCTTCTTATGAGACCTCTTAGGCTGAGGAGGTACTTTAGCCTTAGATCATGGCTGCAGGATTATAGTACCGAAAAAGAGCACAAACATGACTGCTATAGCTATTATGAGGTAGTATAGAAGTGATTGAAGTTTGCTTAGCATTTCATCTTGTTTGAGCAGTTTCTGCTTAAATTCCTCAAGCTGGAATTGGAGATGTTCGTCCTTCTGGTCTTTTAAAATATCTAAATAATTAAATGAAAATCATACTTCAATACTTTTTAATATCTTGTTTGCTGTGATATGCTTCTATCCTCAAATCAGTAAACATTTGGGTGGTTTTGTTTCCTAACTGCCTTATCTTGTAATCCAAATTTTGAAAAATCCGGGCAAAAATTTCACTTAATTTATCATTATTTGGATTGTAGATAGTTGCGGGAACTCCACTGACTCCACAGTTATTCATTGGAGGTCATTTTTCATTGAGATAATGCAGTATACTTCCTACTTCTCATATGCCAGGCTTGAGATTCAAGAACTCTGATTCTGGCTGTCGAAATAAGAAAATGTCTTCGATTATTGTTTGTGTAATGTTATCGTCAAAAATATATTTCAAAGGCTTAAATTCAGTCGTTTTCACAGGGTGTTTGTCCTAAAAGAATTTAGAATTTAAATACCTTCAGATCCTCTTTGGGAGTTTCTTCCTCTTTAAGCAAATCCATACTTTTAAGATCTTCAGTGAGTCCTTGGACCATGGTCCTACCTCAAACTTTCAGCTGAGTCAAGGTTCAAAACGTATATGGACCAAAGGAGGTTTTCCACTCAAACTTAATGTACCTGATCCATGCTTTCTTTATCTTGAAACTTTGCCAGATTCCATTAAATTCATTATTAGCGATGAAGCTACCAAGCTTCTCCCACTTGGGTTCTTCACTATTGTAGGTGTCCGATCCATAGAGATCGAATTGTTCGATCTTTGATGAGAATTCCTCCTGGCTGAGCAATTGAAATTTCTCAATAACTGTATCCTCACTGAGGGAGATGACAAATTCCTTCTTTGCAGAACACGGGATTATAACGTACTCGTCTTTTCCATTTTTGAGAATATTCCCAGATCCAGTAGCCCCTTTAGGAGACTCAAGCAAGACTGCACCAGAAGAGCTGGAAGCGAAGTTGTGGTGTCATTCCTGATTCTTCTTGGCTGAAGTGTACACCTTACGATTCACCAGTTGTTCTGAGTCGATTTGACAACTAAATGTGAACCACAAATTTACTTTCTAAATAGAATGCATTTAACTTTGGTAGCAATCCTATCCTTCAGGTAATATGAGAGCTCGATCCCTTCATGAGTATATTTCCAGAATTTCTTCTCAACCTGGAATGATTTCTCGAATCGAGAGATATCATCATAATATTCTGTCACCCAATTTCCAATAATGCTCTATAAAACAGTAAATTATTAGCTAAATAGGCTAGACATGCAGCTGAGCTCGTTAAGCCAGCTAGGATGCTGAGCCTGCGACTTACATTCGGGCGGAAGTATTTGTAGTCAAGGAAAAGAAGGCTTAAGACAAAAGCCATCAGGACCATCGGATAATACTTTTGCATCCGGTTTTAAATATTATTAACACTTGGAAAACCTTAATCTTGGGGTTTTGGGGTTTTGGGGTTTTGGGGTTTTGGGG